TTAGGTACTGTGCCGAGACCCTGAGTTCAAGCCCCAGAACCCCATCCTCCCCTTCTACTTTGTAGAAGTAACTTGAATTAATATTCCTAGGAATAGAATGTCCACTTAAACATTCCTGTGGTGATTTCTTTCAGGAGTTGACATATGACTTCTTATCTTTTTTTTTCCCCCCAGTCCTAGGGCTTGAACTCTGGGCCTGGGCACTGTCCCTGAGCTTCTTTTGCTCAAGGCTAGCATTCTACCTCTTGAGCCACAGTGCCACTCTGGCCTTTTCTGTGTATGTGGTACTGAGGAATCAAACCCAAGGCTTCATGCATGCTATGCAAGCATTCTACCACTAAACCACATTACCAGCCCCCTTCTTACCTTTTAGAAATAAAGATTTATTTATATTATGCATTTCATTTGCACTTTTGATTGATTGCCTTCTAGGAAAAGCTATGTTAGGTATTCAAGTTAAATGAAAGATTAAATGAAGGAATTAAATGAAAGAAACTCTATTGTAATATTTCATTAGACCATGAAAAGAGGCAGGTTTTGGTAAAGGTAAAGTTGACATAGGTCACTGACAGTCACTGAGAGAAAATAAAGTACATATAACATTTGATTGGCTAATATTATGGTTATCTGAACTTAAAAGTTTAAAATAACAATAGTTGAGATGGGGATAGGAGGGAAAAACTAGGAGAGAGTGAAGGAAGGAATGACACTATCCAAAAAGAAATGTACTCAATTACCTGACTTATGTAACTGTAATTTTATAATAACAATAAAAAATAACAATAGCTGGCAGAGTTACTCCAATGGTAGAGCACTTGCTTAGCAACCACAAGACTCTGTATTAGTATCACCAAAATTAAACATGTGTGTATATATACATACAATAAAATATAATACAATAAAATTGTTAATACTTCTGTTATTTCAGAATATTACCAATGCCTTAGGTTGTTTCCTAGGGCTGCCCAAGGGAATAGTCTGAATGAAATTGAAAGCAAAGCATCTGTTGTTCCCATCTGGGAAAGCTGAATATGCTAGTGCAGTTGTTCTTGTCTTTGCGTTCCACAGGGGGATTTGTGCAGGGCTCACAGCTGAGTCTGCACTGGGAATTACTTATGGGGAAGTGAACGTTCCAACTAAAAGGCACATAGTGTGTAGCAACCTAGAAATCTTCCTTGTTGGCAGGTCTCAAACTTCCTTTTTTCCTACAGGCAAAAGTCTTGAGACATTGAGAACTTGTGGTTTCTGAAGGCCTAGAGGCTTATCAGGTGCACTGATATATTCACCAAGTATTTGCCAAAGACAGACAAGAGAGACTTTTTTTCTTCTCTTTTCTTCTGCTCTTTACTTTCTGGCTGGATCTGTGGATTTCTGAAGCTTTCAGAGACATTACTGAACAGATAGGTGTTTTTCTGAACCAGAACTGAGAGTCCTGGACCTTCAGAAAGAACCTGAATGTTTTCTGAAGATTATCTTTCCACCTTTCTTTGCCACCATGCCAAAGAACTGAACCCTGCCTCTCCATACATTCTGTTGGAGCTAAAGAAATTTGCACACATGACTAGATGTCAGCTACTTGCCCCTGTGTAACTTGGAGTTTGCAAGTTTAATTTCTTTTCATTAAATGGGCTCCACGAGTGTGAACCTTGGGCAGATTCAACAAGAGGGAAGAGAAGAAAGAATTGTGATAATATCTGCACTGCACATTACTTTGAGATTTCCAAAGATAGATTATTGTACAGGATTAATTAGACAGACAGGTCTCCCTTTTGAGAGGTGTGTATTTTTAACTATTCTCTACTTTGTCAGATATCCACTATTACAGGGATCTGATTTGCTGCACGGTGCTGCCCTCTACTGGTTCTTTTTTGGTGCATATGTTACCACATCAGAAAATCTCACATCATACGGCCTTTAAGTTTTTCCCTGTATTAGATTCTCATAATAATATTGTAAATTAGGTAACTTGGGATTATATCTACTTCATATGTGGGGAAACTAAAATCTAGGTAGCTTTATTAGTTTCTTTCTATAAACTTAAATGGCTAGCAGAAGGCAGAATTAGACTAGAATTAAAATTTCTTTCCTCTTAGTAAGTTCCATAGTCCTTTGTAAATTCAGTGTCACCACCTGTCCAAAAGCATTAACAGATTAAATTTACACTGGAGAAAATTGCTATTTTTTCTCCCTTAAAAGAAGGGAGACTGCCCGGTGTTGGTGGCTCACGCCTGTAATTCTAGCTACTCAGGAGGCTGAGATCTGAGGATCGCAGTTCAAAGACAGCCTGGGCAGGAAAGGCCATGAGACTCTTATTTCCAATAAACACCAGAAAACCAGAAGTGGAGCTCTAGTTCAAGTGGTAGAGTGTTCACTTTGAGCTGAAGAGCTGAGGGACAGCACCCAAGCCCAGAGTTCAAGGCCCACAACCAACTCCCTTCACCAAAAAAAAAAAAAAAAAAGAAGAAGAAGAAGGGAGATACACTTAAGTGGTTTAAGTAAATCTATTCGAGTTTCTGTTCTGCATGAGGTTGTAACTCAGATGCTGTGGGCACTTGTGGCTAGGAATGTGGCTTAGTGGTAGAGTGCTTGCCTAGAATGCATGAAGCCCTGGGTTTGATTCCTCAATGCCATATACACAGAAAAAGCTGGACGTGGCACTGTGGCTCAAGTGGTAGAGTACTAGCCTGGAGCAAAAGAACGTCAGGGACAGTGCCCAGAAAGCTCCAGGAGTGGCAAAAAAATTCCTGTTGGCTTCTATGATGATTTATTTCTTCTTTCTCTGCCTTTCCCTTTAAAATTGACTATTCTTAGGGATTCTTATTTCCCACAGTACTTGACATCAGTGACTGCCTCAATTTAATGTTTTGCTTTCTCATATTAGTATCTTGTTTAAGATTTTGTTTCTAAACTTTAAACTTGATTTCATTTATTCCAGCTGACTTCATGTGTATGTGTGTCAGCTAGTATAAGGGCTTGAGGGCTTTTTGCTCTCACTTGGCTTTTTCTCTCAAGGCTATGCTGTACCACTTGGGCCACAGCGCTACTTCTGGTTTTCTGAGTTGTTTATTGGAGATGAATGTCATGGACTTTCCTGCCTGTTCTGGCTTTGAACTGTGATCCTCAGATTGTAGTCTTCTGAGTAGCTAGGATTACAGGTGTGAGCCACTGGAGCTAGGCCCTTGAGACTCTCATCTCCAATAAACCACTCAGAAAACTGAAAGCAGTGCTTTCTCAAGTGGTAGAGAGCTAGCCTTGAGCTGAAGAGCTCAGGTTCAGCACCCAGGCCCAGAGTTCAAGCCTGACCAAAAAAAAAATCATTTGAATCTGTCTGCTTGGGCTGGCTTTGAACCACAATCTTCAGATCTCAGCCTTCTGAGATCACACGTAAGGGAGTAACTGGTGCCCAGTTAACTTTACCTTTAACATTGTCATTTCTTCTAAATATTCCTCTCCATATGTTCTGGATATTTAATAATGACATCTAGGGACCAATAGCTTAGGGGTTTTCCTAGAGCTTTGTGTCCTTATGCCTGATTTATTCGATCATCCTTGTTTTTTGGTGTTTGTTTTCTTTTTTTTTTGGATCCGGTCGTGGGGCCTGAACTCTGGGCTTGGGTGCTGTCCCTCAGCTCTTCAGCTCAAAGCTAGCACTCTACCACTTGAGCCACAGCACCACTTCCAGCTTTTTTCTTTTTGCATATGTGGTGCTGAGGAATAGAACCCAGGGCCTTAGGCATGCAAGGCAAGCACTCTGCCACTGAGCCAATTTCCCAGCCCTTGGTGTTTGTTTTTTGTCCAGTCCTGGGGCTTGAACTCAGGGCCTGGGCATTGTCCCTGAGCTACTTTTGCTCAAGGTTAATGCTCTACTTTGAGCCGAAGTGCTACTTCCGCCTTCTGTTTATGTGGCACTGAGGAATCTAACCCAGGCCTTCATGCAATGCTAGGCAAACACTCTACCACTAAGCCACATTCCCAGCCCCATCCTGGTTGGTTGTTTTTTTTTTTGTTGTTGTTGTTGGTTTGTTTTATATTCTGTCATCTAAATGCATTTTGAATCTTCCCTTGTTCCAGTGTCTCCACTATTGCTATAACTCAAATGCCTCTCTCGCACTGAGATCAATGCAATGTTCCAATAACCTAGTTCCCCTTCTTTGTATTCTACATACTAATTCACCTATCATACATTGCCAAAGCAATCTTTTCTTTGAAAAGTAAATGTGACCAGGTTGCTCCCTTGCTTAAAATGCTTCTTTTGTTCCCTAGAGCAAAGATAAAGTCCATATAGAATAGCAAAAGATACCATCCTTACTTCCTGATTTTCTTGTCAGTGTGTTCTGGCCATACCAAGTAAATTAGTTTCCTGAATGCACCATGGATTTAGCCTGTGACAGCATGTACTGTTCCCTCTGTGTGGATGGTCTTCCTTTTTTGCTGCCCTAGGTCATCCTTTACAACTCCTTTATTTCCTCTTCTATGCCCAGATGAAGTAACTTTATCCTCAGTGTTATAAACTGCTGTCATATCTATTCATTACTGTATTTTCCTGTTTGCTACTTACATTATCTCGGTCCCTTAATAGATTATGTTCCATTCAAAAGCAGGCATCCTTATGTACAGAACTACCAAATGCTTGGATTTGGAATAAGCCTATGGTAAATTAAGGGAGAAAAAAAACATCTATTTTCTCTATTTTCTAGCTTTTTTTTTTTTTTAATGTTTTTTGGGTCCGGTCGTGGGGCCTGAACTCTGGGCCTGGGCGCTGTCTTTCAGCTCTTCAGCTCAAGGCTAGTGCTCTACCACTTGAGCCACAGAACCACTTCCGGCTTTTTTCTTTTTGCTTATGTGGTGCTGAGGAATCGAACCCAGAGCCTCAGGCATGCAAGGCAAGTGCTCTACTACTGAGCCAACTTCCCAGCCATAGATGTTTACTCTCTAATAGTATCACCCCAAACCTAAACATTTCTGATAAATGGTGGGCGGGTCTTCTTTGTGTTTTGCAGTATATCAACTCTGGGAACCTGGAACAGTTGCTAGACAGTAACCTGCATTTGTCCTGGACTGTGAGGGTGAAATTGGCCTATGACATAGCAGTGGGCCTCAGATACCTTCACTTCAAAGGCATTTTCCATCGGGACCTCACATCAAAGGTATGGAGACCTTATTTTTGCAATGCTTTGAGAGACACGATCCTCTTCTCTAAGAAAGCTGTGTAAGAGAACTACATTGTTAATGAGCTTAGAAATATGGAGATCTCTATTACAGGTTTAACATTTAGTCACAGAGAACATACTCACTATTCATTATAGCTAATCCTTAGAAAGCCAGTATCTCTTCAGAGCAGGTACCTTTCCAAGTTGAGGCAGGCAACACTTGACTTCTGTCTCTGAATGTGTGATACAGAAGCAGATGACATAAAGAGGAATAAGAGATTCTTGAGCTGGGAGGCCTATCAGTTTTCTCTCCTATGGTATCCAGGAAGTAGTTCTCAGCTAAGAGCAGTAGTTGAGTGTAGTCACTTGAATGCAAGTTTTAAACACTCCATGGGTCATTTTCTAACTGTGTGATTGAGTTTCTGCCACCCTGTCAATTCTTTGGCATCAGCTGGTCTCTGCCTCTGTAGTATTATATTCTTGTTGTCCAAAGTGCTATGTGAACAGGATAGACAGAGTTGTTTTCAGAGGAAGTTGGCTGTGCTACAAAGGAGGCAATAGAGCCAAAAGGCCTAGGATATTATCATGACAAGGCTTATAAAAAATATTGCCTGATTATTGATGGAAGAAAGATAAAGCCATCTAACATATCTAATATGGCTTCTGCCCAGGAGCCAAATTAAAGTCTCCTAGGGAAATATGTAGGAATTTTGAACTTACCCAAGAATAACTGTCATTTTTCTCTACCCTAGCATATATATGAGCACACATATACAAATATATGCATGCATATACATGCATAAAGCTCTTCTGTCATAGATGAAGGGAAAGGAAGCCTGTTGTAAGAAGCAATTTCCAAAGGGAACAAAACCAATAAGGTCTAAAGTCCCTGGTGACCTCATGCCGGTGTGGTTCTGGCATCCTAAACAGCAGTACTGTTCCTGAGGGGCCCTGACCTTTGGTTTATGAACTAGTTACAAAAAATTGCTGTGGGGAGGTAATGGCAAGGCCCTTGTGTATGGCAGAACCATTTGTATTCAACTGCACTATTCCTGAAGGTGCATGTGTTCTAGGCTGGTAGGTAAAATTATATCAGTCAAGTAAGTTGATACTGTCACTTCAGTTACCCAGCCCAAATCAGATCAGATCAACTCATTATAGCTTCATTTCTTCTAAGTTAGAGGGAGGTTGTGACAAGTGGCTGGGAAGGTGGCTCAGTGGTAGAGCTCTTGCCTTGCATGCCTGAGGCCCTGGGTTTGATTCCTCAGCACCACATGAGCAAAAAGAAAAAAGTCGGAAGTGGCGCTGTGGCTCAAATGGTAGAGCGCTAGCCTTGAGCTGAAGAACTGAGGGATGGCGCCCAAGCCCAGAGTACAGGCCCCACAACCAGACCCAAAAAAAAAAAAGAATGAGATGCCCCAGTAGAGAAATAAGGTAAAAGTGATAGAGTAGAGGGCTCTGAGGTTTCTAGATTATCTCTAAAGATCCACTTCAAGGCCAACCTGGGTAGGAAAATCCATGAGACGCTTATCTCCAGTTAACTACTAAAAAGTCAGAAATGGAGTTGTGGTTTAAGTGGTAGAGCACCAAACTTGAATGAAAAAGTTAAGGGACAGTACCTAGGCCCTGAGTTCAAGCCTCTCTGTCTCTCTCTCTCTCTCTCTCTCTGTGTCTGACTCTCTGTCTGTCTGTCTCTCTCTCTCTCTCACACACACACACACACACAAACCAAAGAACAAATGTGATTACATGCCTGTAATCATAACCCTAAGGCAGAAGGAGGGCTGCATCGGGAAACTATCTCACAAACAAATGTGAACGTTAGAGGGATGTAGGGCTCCTAGAGTTCTTTGTTTATGAGTACTGTCAAAGCTTTTAGAAACCATTTATACTCTGTTAGTAGATGACACAGTACTAGCCACAAAGAAATGGTTAGATTCCAACATGTACCCTCCATTGGCTCTAGCCTAATTGGAGAGATACGTGAGCAGGTCCTTCATACACACAAGAGATATGGCCAAGGGATGGAACATGTCATCCTAAACTGATAATCTTCTAAACTTGGCCTATAGAAGTTCCTAAGGGCAGGGGCTGGGAAAGTGGCTCAGTGGTAGAGTGCTTGCCTAGCATGCACGAAGCCCTGGGTTCGATTCCTCAGTACCACTTAAACAGAAAAAGCCAGAAGTGGCGCAGTGGCTCAAGTGGTAAAGTGCTAGCCTCGAGCAAAAAGAAGCTCAGGGGCAGTGCCCAGGCCCTGAGTTCAAGCCATAGGACTGGCAAAAGAAAAAAGAAAGGTCCTGAGGCATTTGGGGGGACATTTCAGTCCTTGATCTCCCTTGATCTTCCTCTGAAAGGAACCTTTTCACTTTTCTGAAAATGTAATTTCTTGCTTGATCCTATCAAGGCTTATGAAATTCATTTTTGGGGGTAAAGAGAAAGGTGATTACACAAAGTACCCTCTCTCCCAGTTTTTGTGCCTCGTAGTGGGGCTGCTCCTTAGTTTTTTCACACAAAGCTGGCACCTACCACTTAGCCATAGCTCCACTTCTGGCTCTTTGATAGTTTATGGGAGACTTTCACAGGCTTTCCTGCCCAAGTTGGCTTTGACCCAAGGTCCTCAGATCTCAGCCTCCTGAGTAGCTAGGATTACAGATATGTGCCAGTGGTACCCAACTTTGAGCTTAATATTATAAGCCTAGCATATATTCTGTAGCCATATAGTCTGTACTGGGGCTACGGTCAGGTTGGCTAAAAAATGTCATAATTGCTTGCCCTAGGATTAACCAGCATTGGAGATAGAGGCTAAGGTCTCTGCCTACATAGTTGTAAGATTCTAGCTCAATAATAACCCATCACTTTTTAGAGCTGAATTATTATTTTTTTTTTGGGGTCCGGTCGTGGGGCCTGAACTCTGGGCCTGGGCGCTGTCCCTCAGCTCTTTAGCTCAAGGCTAGTACTCTACCACTTGAGCCATAACACCACTTCCAGCTTTTTTCTTTTTGCTTATGTGGTGCTGAGGAATCGAACCCAGGGCCTCATGCATGCAAGGCAAGCGCTCTATCACTGAGCCACCTTCCCAGCCCCGAGGTGAATTATTTTCTATGAGTTATATTTCAATAAAGTTGGCAATGGTCTTGCACAAACAATGTTGCTTTTTTCATGGTGCTTGGCCTCTATTTTGTAAGTCTTCTTTTTTTTTTTTTGGGGGGGGGTCCAGTCGTGGGGCCTGAACTCTGGGCTTGGGCGCTGTCCCTCAGCTCTTCAGCTCAAGGCTAGCACTCTACCACTTGCGCCACAATGCCACTTCTGGTTTTTCTCTTTTTGCTTATGTGGTGCTGAGGAATCAAACCCAGGGCCTCATGCATGCAAGGCAAGCGCTCCACCACTGAGCCACCTTCCCAGCCCCTTTATAAGTCTTTATTGCTCTTGTCATCGATTTGTCTTCAGCAGAAAGCCTTAAACCTATCCCACTGAGCAAGCCAGAAGCCATGTGGGATGAGAAGAGGCTTTACTAAAGCCCACAGAGTAGCCAAAGATAGTGAGGGAAATCTAAAACTCTAGCAGACAGGGGAGAAGAATCAGAAAGTCTCTAAACCTCTAAGCTTCTAACGCTGGTCTCTTAACTATATGATCACTACTACCTTATTCCTTACATACTCAATACTAACACAAATCCTAAATCGTATGTAAAAGCCCTGAAGGAGGTCATTAACTATGTCACAAGCAGGAAGATCTAGCCACCTAAGAACTTACTTTATTTTATTTTTTTGGTCTGGTCGTGGGCCCTGAACTCTGGGCCTACGCACTGTCCCTCAGCTCTTCAGCTCAAGGCTAGCGCTCTACCACTTGAGCCATAGCGCCACTTCTGGCTTTTTTCTTTTTGCTTATGTGGTGCTGAGGAATCAAACCCAGGACCTCATGCATGCAAGGCAAGTGCTCTACCATTGAGCCACCTTCCCAGCCCCTAAGAAGTTATTTTGTCTGCTTAGTGTTTGGAGTTCATTGGGATTTTCACTGAGAATACTTCCAGCAGAAGCCAGTAAGGACTGAGTGGGAGAAAAAGAAATGAAAGCAACAAGTGTTAAGAGCTAAGTCTGACTAACCTAGATCCCTTAAAGGGAAGCTCAGGAATTTCTTGGAAAACCCGATAGGGGTTTGTCAAGGCTCCTCCTCATTTTTATCAACACAGATGTAAAGCCCTAATGTTTGAACTTTTGTGAGTTTTTTTTTTTTTCATTCCTAGTTTCCCCTTTGGCATCAATGCTCAGCTATTAGCTATAGAAAAACCTTTCTGGGCTGGGAAGGTGGCTCAGTGGTAGAGTGCTTGCCTTGCATGCACGAGGCCCTGGGTTTGATTCCTCAGCACCACATAAGCAGAAACAGCTGGAAGTGGCACTGTGGCTCAAGTGGTAGAGCACTAGCCTTGAGCTGAAGAGCTGAGGGACAGCACCCAGGCCCAGAGTTCAGGCCCAGGACCAGAAAGAATGAGAGGGGGGGTGAGGGGAGGAAGGAAGGGAGGGAGGAAAGAAAAGAGGGAGGGAGGGAAGAAGAGAGAGGGAGGGAGGGAGTTAAAGAAGGAAGCAAAGGAAAGAAGAAAGGGAGAGAAGGAGGGAGGGAAAGAAGGAAGGAAGGAAAGAAGGAAGGAAAGAAGGAAGGAAGGGAAGAAAGACCTTTCTATAGCTCTCTCAAGACAATGGTCACATTTCAGGTAGACTAAGTGAGGCAACCTTGCCCTTCTCCTATTATAGGGATCACATTGCTCCTGATCATTCCTGCCTTAGCCATTTCTTAACTACTTATAAAGATGCTGTCTAGAAATCCCTTTCTACTAAATGGGTGGTCTGCAAAAATGTGATCATAAAGCAGAAACTGAACAGCTTTGACAGGGGTTGCCCACTGTGGCCATGTTCTGTTCCTAACTTGCTTCTCCCAAGTTGACTTAGGAAACAGGATTGTTTTCAAGGCCTATAAAGCAAATAGTAAATAGGACTTTACACTGGACCTTGGAGACAGGAGTCTGAGTTGTTGGCAAAATGGGAGGAGGAAAGGAGAGATCTGAAGTGCCACTTCCTCATAGGCTAGTGCCCTATACCCAGGGCTTTGGTTAATACACAGGTTGGCCTTGGGCCCATCTTCTCAGACAAAGTCAGGGAGGTGAGGTGCTGATCCAGCATGACTGATGGGAGAACTAAAGCTAGGACAAACACAAGGACAGTTCTTGGAAATCAGCCAATTTACCTCCACTTGGGACCCAGGGTAGATGTGATGAAATCATAGGCTCCTTCTGCCTCAGAGAAGAATTAAGTATATGTACATTAAGGCCAGAATAAAAGATTGCTATGTACCTGATGTAGAATGTGCAGAAGGCGTTAGTAATGTCCTGGCAACTAGATGCCAAGGCTGGCTAGGAAGGAGGAGAGCTGGTTTGGGTCAGATAGGGTCTTGCTGGCCTTAGAAATGTTTCTGCTTGCCAAGGCTCCTTGCTCTCTGCTGCCTCCAGAGGGGGTGGGGTGAGGTGCCTCCTGAGCCAGTGGTATAGAGCTATTTTGAATGTAGCTATATTTGGGGAGAGCTGGTCACGGATTTATTTATAGGTCATTGGGGTTCATCCTTTTTCTGGAGTCAGCCGTATTTGTCCAGTAATCATGTTCCCATCCTCTCCCATGAATTGGATACTGTGAGGAAACCTTAAACTGGAACTTGTTCCCCAGGTGCTCACAGCCTGCCTGCTAGACTGTGAATGGAGGTGGCATAGAAAAGTATGTGTGGGTCCTGGATTTGATTCCCAGCACAAAATAAAAATGAAAATGGGAGAGAGGGATTCGCTAGAGGGGGAAGGAGAGAAGACAGAGAGATATAATATATGAAACAATGAATTTGGAGGATATTCCAAATGGAGGGAATGGTATAAACAAAGGCTTTCTGTGACAAGTTTAAATTTGGATAAGCTATGCTACATAAGCACAGGGGCCAGTTAGACAGAGCCAGATCAGATGGGGGTGTGTGTGTGTGTGTGTGTGTGTGTCGGTGTGGCTTGAACATAGGCCTTATACATACCACGCATACACTGTACCACTGAACTGTACTCCTAGTTAGACAGAGCCAGAGTGTGTGTGTGTGTGTGTCTCGGTGTGGCTTGAACACAGGCCTTATACATACCACGCATACACTGTACCACTGAGCTGTACTCCTAGTTAGACAGAGCCAGATCAGATAGTGTGTGTGTGGTGTGCTGGGGCTTGAACATAAGACCTTATACATGCCACGCACACACTGTACCACTGAGCTGTACTCCTAGCCAAATCGTAGACTTATGCTAGGAATATTGGTGTGACCCAGAGGGTATTGAAGGTTAGTGTATGCAAGCATGGGTAGTTAACTATGGCTGCTTGATCCCTACTTCTGAGCTACCTTCTCTCCTCTTCTTTGGGAACCCTAGAACTGCCTGATAAAGAGAGATGAGAATGGTTACTCTGTAGTAGTAGCTGACTTTGGCCTGGCTGAGAAGATCCCTGATATTGGGTGAGTAGTCCTAATGGGAAATCCAGCTTCCTTCCCAAAGACCAGGATTTAGTGACAGCTCCACCTTACTCCCTGAATTTAACTAGTCCTAGGCTATCTGTATCCATCCTTGGGGGGAAAAGAATTTCCAACCATCAAAATATCCCATTGTGCTGGGCGCCAGTGGCTCATGCCTGTAATCTTAGCAACTCAGGAGGCTAAGGTCTGAGGATCATGATTCAAAGCCAGCCCAGGCAGGAAAGTCTATGAGACTCTTATCTCCACTTAACCACCAGGAAAGTGGTACTGTGGCTCAAATGGTAGAGCATTCACTTTGAGCTGAAGAGCTTGAGGGACAGCGCCAGGCCCAGAGTTCAAGCCCCACAACTCATAAAAAAAAAAATACCCCATTGTACTGGGCAAGCTCACTTCCTTCCACTTTCATTCCACAGCATGGGATGTGAGAAGTTGGCTGTAGTGGGCTCACCCTTCTGGATGGCACCTGAAGTTCTTCGAGATGAGCCCTACAATGAGAAGGTAAGTGGAGAATCTCAGGCTTGGTACTCCTTAGAATGCACTGATAGCAGAAAGAGCCCAGGGTGAGGATCAACATCCTTTCTGACTTGGATGAAATATGGGCAATAAGGCTCAGACATGGGCAATTGAGGGAGCAATACTCCACCCCTCAGTCCACTGAGAGGGAAACAGAGGTCTAACTACCCACCAGGCGGACGTGTTCTCTTATGGTATCATCCTCTGCGAGATCATCGCCCGCATCCAGGCTGATCCAGACTACCTTCCCCGCACAGAGGTGAGCAGTAGGCATGCAGACCAGTGCCATGGGCTAGGGCTGGTTTGAGGCTGTGGAACTATTTTCTTCTTGGGGTAGAGTGGCTGAACTCATTCTATGGCTACTTCTTAGAGGCAGCTCCAGGATGGGTGGTAGGGGTGGGGGGATGGGGACTGATGGCATCTACCCATGTCCCTATACCTTCCCCAAATGACAGAATTTTGGGCTGGACTATGACGCTTTCCAGCACATGGTGGGAGACTGCCCCCCAGACTTTCTGCAGCTCACCTTCAACTGCTGTAATGTGAGTATCTTTATCCTCTGGCCTTGTTTCAGGAGCTGGTTATATTCTTTTTACCTGATCATGACTGTAAGGAAAGGCTACAAATTCCTTAGCCTCATTTTTCTCTAGATGTGTTAAACACCAACCACAGTTCCTCCTCAGGGTAAAGCTAGGCTGAGGACTTTGGACCAAGAGAAGGGAAAACTGGCTCCTAATCTTCAGCCTGCAGGGCAGACCCACCATCCCTTACCTTGATAGCACTGTGGTGTGGTTTTGCTATTAAACTGGGCTCTAGCCAGTCCAAAGACACATTAAAAAAGGTTCTTCTTATTGGCCTTCTTTTTTTTTTTTTTTGGCCAGTCCTGGCACCTGAACTATGGGCCTGGGCACTGTCCCTCAGCTCTTCAGCTCAAGGCTAGCGCTCTACCACTTGAGCCACAGTGCCACGTCTGGCTTTTTCTGCTTATGTGGTGGCTGAGGAATCCAACCCAGGGCCTCATGCATGCAAGGCAAGCACTCTACCACTGAGTACCTTCCCAGCCCATGGCCTTCATTTTATACAGATCTGAGCCAGACTACTTAGGACCAAAGGGTAAAACCAAATTAGCAGTATGGGAAAAAAAAAAAAAGAAGAAGAAGAAGAATCACGTTTGCTGGGATCCAGTGGCTCATGCCTGTAATCCTAGCTACTCAGGAGTCCGAGATCTGAGGATCGTGGTTCAAAGCCAGCCAGGGCAGAAAAGTCCGTGAGACTTATGTCCAATTAACCACCAGAAAACCGGAATGGCACTGTGGCTCAAGTAGAATGGTGGCCTTAAGCTGAAGAGCTGAGGGACAGCACCCAGGCCCAGAGTTCAAGCCCTAAGACTGACCAAAAAAAAAAAAAGAGAGAGATGCTTTTGGAGGGGTAAAGCAGACTGAGGACTGAGATAAGGAAGTATAGTAGACAATAGTTTCCTTTCTGACCATAGTTCTAGGTATCACCCTAAGAACTGTGGCCTCAGTAGAGATCTCTTAGCTGAACATCTGAATCTTTAAAAAAGAGCAATACACTGAAATTCTACCTTTGGGGTGGGAAAATGAGGGTAAAACTCACGGCTAGTGTGGATGCCTACAGATGGACCCCAAACTGCGCCCATCCTTTGTGGAGATTGAGAGGACCCTGGAGGAAATCATGAGCCGCCTGCGGGAAGAAGAGCTGGAGAGGGACAAAAAGCTGCAACCTACAGCTAAGGGTAAGAGTTCCAAACAGGCAGCCCAACCTGACCCCAAGGGAGGAAATTAGCCTGGAGGATCTTCCCCTCTAGGACTATTCATCACAAAGTCTCAGGTCCTTAGCTAAGTAAGAGGGGAGGGCCATGAGATCACAGAGTCTCAAACAGTAGTTAAATTGACACATTCCTTCCCTTCTCTGAATATTTCCTTGCTGATGAAATGAGACAACGGTACTTTGCTTTCCAGAGAGAAAATACTGTAATAAGTGATAGCTTTGTTTATTATGTCTAGTGAGAATAACCCAGGCTTGACTCACTGTTATTCAGGACTCTTGGAGAAAGTTCCTGGGGGGAAGCGACTAAGCTCACTGGATGACAAGATTCCATACAAGTCCCCACGTCCAAGACGTACTATTTGGCTGTCTCGAAGCCAGTCAGACATCTTCTCTCGTAAGCCCTCGCGTACAGTGAGTGTTTTGGACCCCTACTACCGGCCACGAGATGGTGCTACACGCACTCCCAAAGTTAACCCTTTTAGTGCTCGCCAGGACCTCAAAGGTGGCAAGATCAAGCTCTTTGACCTACCCAGCAAGTCTGTCATCTCCCTGGTATTCGACCTGGATGCACCAGGCCCTGCAACAATGCCCCTGGCTGATTGGCAGGAGCCTCTGGCTCCACCTGCCCGCCGGTGGCGTTCTTTGCCTGGTTCACCAGAGTTCTTGCATCAAGAGGCTTGTCCATTTGCAGGCCGTGAAGAATCGCTATCTGATGGGCCCCCACCACGCCTCAGTAGTCATAAGTATAAAGTAAGAGAGATCCCACCATTCCGGGCATCTGTCCTTCCAGCTGCTGTAGCCCATGAGGCAATGGACTGCTCTAACCAAGAAGAAAATGGTTTTGGGCCCAAGCCCAAGGGGACCAGCTCAGGCCTTGGAAATGCCTCTGAGGAGATGGAGGTTGAAGAAGTAAGACCATGGGACTTGGTTGCAATCCCCTCCTCTGTCTCAAGCATAGGCCCACAAACCCAGGGAGAAAAGGATGGGTGAGGGAGGTTAGTCCCTGTCTACACTTTGGGGATGGAGCTTCAGCTGAAGCCATAGGTGCACAGCCTTGACTTTTCTCTGGAGCCCACAGAGCAGGCAGGCTGCTTAGCTTTTGGGCTTCCAGGACCCAATGGCACATATGAGATGAAGCAGCAGTGAGAGAGGCATTCTAGTTAGGGCCAACCATTGGTACTAAGCCTCAGACATCTAGCAAGGAGCTCCAACTCCCACCTGTTGGTTTCTAGTGTACTTTCCGCACTGGACTCCTAGTTCTAGGATGAGCTGGCAGGTGGCTATTACCCCAGTTCTTTCCTGCCCTAGGTCTCTTTTCCCCTTTCTTGGGGCATATAAGCTACTGGAAGGAACTCAAAGCTGACCAGGAGGCCCTAATAGGCATGGCTGTTTTTCAGACTTGAAGACTGGGGTGCTTCTTGCCAGTATGTCTAAGACACTTGAATAATTGCTGTTTGCACTTACTGCATGGTCAGACCACACCACTACATTTCTATGCAAGGGGGCGGGGCAAGGTAACATGGTGGTCATGGCTCTTAGCTAACCTATTCAAAGACCTTTTCCAGTTGATTAATCTATTTTCCTATTTATAAAGGAGTCTTAATGTTCTGCCTCATAAGACTTTCAGCCTTGTGGTTGGGAGTGGGGGCTGGTTTTGTAGGCCTTAGGGCCTGCTCTAAGTATTTTGTTAACAGGTGATACAACCAGTTGGTTAAACGGTTTATACCTGGACTGATTTTCTTCCCTTCCTGCTATAGCTGGAGCTTCGGGAACAATCTGTCCTTACAGAGCCGCAATAAGAAATAACCAAAGAATGAAGTTGGTCAAAATATTTTCATAACTTGTTTCTGTTGATTTTTGGGGGGTAAAAGCTTTCCCAAGACACTTTCAGATTTGAAAATAAAGATGATATTGCAGGTGCTGGTCAGCCTTCTTACTTGAACTCTTATACCTCAGCCTCTGAGGTAAAGCAAAGGTCCAGGAACAATGCAGCAGGATCTCTGCCAAGGCTCCTTCACCCTGTCCCCCTTTATCCACTCTCAACTCTCTTAGTTGAAAGTGTATTCGGAGACTAGAGAGACTCAACAACTCTGTTCTATTTTGTTTCTCTTCCTGGGGAGAGTGCCAGGTAGAAGCTGGGTCAGCTGTTGCCCCAAGCCAGCTTCATCTTCTGGTTGTGAGCTTTGGAGGAATGGGAGAACTGGCTTTTGGCCACTGTGAGAGGCACAGCTTTGCCACTCAGATACACTTTGTTGTGACATTCAGGTAGCCAGGGTCCAGAGCTGCAGGACTGGAGTTCCTGGCTCACTCCCACAAAGGCCATCACATAACCTGTCATAAAGGCATCAAAACCAGCCCGGTGCAATCCATCCCCAGGCACTGGGTTAGGACTGACTTGACTTCCTGGCACTTCTGAGGTAGTCATGTCAGTTATTCCAGGCTGGGTTGTCTTAAGCTCCATCCCCAAATCATTTTTATGATCTTGCTCACAGCAACTCTGGTCCTTGGCTTCATCTTCGGCCACTTTTTGTTCAATTTCCTCAGTCTTCACACCATCCCCACAGACCTGCTTAGTGGGAGGACCATCCTCAGTTTCTCCAGAGGTCTTTGTCCCAGGCTGGTTCATCAAAGCCCTCCTCCGTTTTTCTTTACGTCGTCGCCGTCGCCGCTTGTCCTCTGCCACAGCCTCATCGGTGTCAATGATAAGATCAATATTGTGGGAGCGAGGACACTGTGGTCCTAGAGGGCACCAGCCATAGGCCTAGAGGTAGGAAAGAGGCTTAGAAGGAGTTCCAAATGTCAAAGCCTCCCCTCTCCCCAGGAAATGGACAAGAGTTCTCACCGAGAATTTGTCACAGATGTTGGTGGGATGACGATGGTGGGTTGCAGGGGACATGCAGCAGCGGTAGTCAATATGAGCCCTCATGCTAGAAGGATAGCTGCAGAACTCCAGGACAAGGTGAGGGCTGCCAGCTGCCCGCTGTTTCTCATTTTCCCGTTCACTGAAACAGCAGAAGAGGGTATTGTTCCACTAACATGTATGAGAGGCAGGAGTTTTGTCTGATTTGTTCATTGTACTGCTGAATCCTCAGCAACTAAAAACAATGCCTAGAACATGGTAAGCACTCCATAAATATTAAGTGAATGAAATTTGCTCATACAAGACCCTACCCCTTTCCCTCACCATTTCCGGAAGGCGTATTCTAAGTAGGAGGCCACAAATCGGGCATGAAACTCTGCAGCATATTTGGTGTCATAAATGCCTGCTGGGAACATCTCACAGAGGTCAGCAGTGAAGGTTCCCAGGCTTTCTGGCAGGTGGGCATAGAAGTTCTGGTACAAGAACACCAAGTCTATAAGACCATTATGCAGCACCACGGGCCGGCGGGCTCGAATCAGCTCCAGGAACAAGGTTCGCACTGACTGGCTCTGGCTCTCATCACCCTAGGTGGAAAGGGAAGAGGGGGTCAGTGGGAAGCAGAGAGTTCCTTCTATGGACTACTGCTCTCTAGTTCCCTCATCTGGAAAGTTCTTCCTCATACCCAACCCAGTGCTACATATAGTATGTCTTGTCTCCTCAGCCTTGTCCATGGTGATTCCCCATACTCACTAAGAAACAGGTTTCCAGCAGACAAAGAAAGGCTAGGGAAATTGGATACCTACCTTGTCATTGCCCTTATGGTAGGGGATGCCCTGGGCATACTGCCGATTAAAGTTGAAGCCATGCTGTACCAGGAACTGCACAGATTTTGGTTCTATAACATACTCCTCCGTGCACAGCAGAGTGAGATTGAACACCTGGACCAGGTAGGAATGTTCACCCTGAGAAAGAGGGCTATATCAAGACTTGAGATTAAAAAACCTTACACCCAGTGTTCCCTCCTGTGGATCTCTGCCACAGATCAGGGATGGGGATTAGATAGTTCATACCTTATCTGGCTGTTGCTTGAAGCAGGCGAGGCCCAGCGACAGCACAGAACGGGTCCTGGCAGCATGACACACAGCCTTATAACGTTCTTCAATGCACCTTAAAATTGGTTTTTGGAGTGGTTGTAGCTGATTTAGCTTCATGAAGGACCCAAACCACACAGGACTCGAACATAGACCCACCCCTCCAGGGCTGAGATCTATCCCTTCTGCTGGGGCTGGGACTAAAGAGAAGGCTTACTTACTGGTTCAGCAAACTCTTCCTGTCCCCTAGCCCACTCAGCTCCTATGAGTGGGTAAAGGTAGGGTTGTGATTGGTCCCCAGCACCAGTCCCTTCTCAACACCTGCCCTCCCTGTTTCCCATGCCTCACCGTGTCAACAGCCACGAAGCTAGATGTCTTTATGGCCAGCAGGAGGGATGGCCACATCTCTTTGAAGTTATCGTTTTGCACATCTACCACAGGAACTTGGACTACTATCTCCTCCTTAGATTTTATGCTTCTGTTGACACCTCCTAGGCATAAGGAGGGTGGTGGATGTTCATGTTCTGGCAAGACCCCAAGGGAACAGACACCAAGCTAGGTTGCGGGGACCCCATTGGTAGCTTTTTCCCTTTACCTCAAGCTCTTTTTTCCTACCCTATGTGTTCTGCACATATATCAGAGTGGGCAGTGCCCTGAGTTTGGGAAGAGAACAGTTGGGTCTTCCAATGACTTTAGTAAAACTTTGGGAAGAAGTTACTTTCTCAGAATCCCTATCAGTGGATAGGTAAGGTTGAAGGGAACATCTTTGATTTTTCCTTACCCCTTGCAGGAAATATTCTGCAGGGCTTGGAATTTAAAATCCTTGAGCGAGGATGGGTGGTGTAAGCCTTTAATCCCAGCACTCTGATAATAGGGCCTCGACTGTGAAGCCAGCCTAGGCTACAAAACCAATCATGTGTCAAAAGAAAAAAAGCAAAACAAAATCCATCCCCTAAACATACGAGGCTGCACACTACAGTTCCCAGGAGGCCCCGACAGCTATAAGCGGCAGTTCCTGGTTTGCTTCAAAGCCTGATAAATGCCCTACACCAGAGCTATCAACGTGTCCTACTTCTGGTTCAAAAACCCCACCGGCTCGACAGATTCCCAACTACTAAAATTATGAGCTCCACTCAGACCACATCTCCCAGCATGCCCCTCCTCGGCCTTTACAAAGCTTCCACCCCTTCGGTCTTTGCAGGCAGGCGCAATGCATGCCGGGACCTGTAGTCTCCTCGTGGCTGCCTAAGAAGGAAAGGGCTAACTCACGGCAGCTTCAGGTCAGCCTCTAGAACTATGGTCTCGAGGCTTTTCCCTTACTGAGCCGCAGAAGCTTTTAGGGTGACCCCCAGGAAAGCCACTCACCATCGGAGGCCATTGGAGCTGGAGCTACGCCATCTTCACTGCCAGCAGCCATGACGGCACGCGTCCCTCACTGGATTCTGTGGGTACGCGGGACTTCCGCTTTGTTTCCAGTCGCGACACGGCCTAGCAGGGATGGGGCGGGGTCTCTGCCGCGGGGGGGGGGGTGGCCGAGGAGTCAGACTTCCGCTCAGACCTCCCGGGTCTGGTGCGGGAAGTAGGCCGGGCGCGCGCTGAGAGCCTATTGGCTGGTACGTCCGGCTCGAGCCAGGATTGGCCGAAGCCACGCCCCCTGGAGTGTCGGAAGTCGCGCGCGGGAGACAACCTTAGAGGTAATTTCTATTCCTGCGCGCCCGGTGGAGGCGTGGGAGCTGTGGCTTTCTAGAGCGGAGCCCGCGGGTTGGGGTGGGCAGGGTAGTCGGCCCAAAGAAGGGGGCTCTGCCTAAACCGGGCTTAAAGCATTCCTATCAATTAGGTAACAAGAAGGGCCTGTCGAGAAAAGAACGGTGTTTTGGGCAAGGCAAGTAGCCAGAACGAATGCTTAGTGCCGTCCAGGAACTGAAAGAGTTTGGGGAGTGTTCCACAAGACCAGGCTGCAGAAGGGTAGCTGTCGACAATTAGAGGACCTTTTGAGATGATCTAAGCAAGTGATAACGTGACTTGAGTAAAGCCTCTGGTAGCAGGGATGGCTACTTGTGAAGCTATTACTGACCTAAAGGGTGTTTGGGCTTGATTCCTGCTACTGTAGGATAGATGACCCTACTGAAGACTCGTCCTTTCCTGGGGGTTCTACCTGCCACACCCAATGCCCACCAATCCTTTCTCCTGGGATGTTCATTTCTTTCTAGTTTGTCTTCAACTTTACTTAGAGTTTCTTTGGATTTTTCCCATCCTGAAAAAGGAATCATTTCCTTTAACCCTTCCCTCATCTGGCTAAATTAATGTTCGTGTGCTTGCTTGCTTGGTATTGTTGAGGCAATGCAGAACAGCATCAAGACCTCTTTTTAGAGAGGATAAAGGAATTTATTGCCAGCGACCGGAACCAGGCTAGTGACAGAAGCTTGGATTCCCTAGTTGGGAGAGGGCCAGGGTTTTATACGAGCTGGTTACACACAAAATAGGCATTAATAAGATATACAAAAGTCCAGGTGGGCTGACATCAACTTCTGACCAATTGCTTTCTAGTTGTGTAGGAATCATGACATCCTGTCACTACCCCTTCTGTGTTGTTATTTAAAAATGCCTTGTGGGGCTGGGAAGGTGGCTCAGGGGTAGAGCGCTTGCCTTGCATGCAAGATGCCCTGGGAGGCCCTAGGTTCGATTCCTCACCCATAAGCAGAAAAAGCCGGATGTGGCTCTGTCATTCACATGGTAGGTAGAGCACTAGCCTTGAGCTGAAGAGCTG